GGGAAAGTGACTTTGCTAATATTTAATGTGACAATCTATGTTTTATTAGGGATCTCTAAACAGGAATGAAGCCTACCCTCTGTAAAAGATTAGGACAGATATGTAAACTTTCACGTGAAACTAAGGCAAATCAGCTCTGGGAAGGAAACTGAAGTTTGTCTCCTCTTCGTGAGCCTTCCAAAGGGGCTCCGAGCAGGGAGAGCTGGCAGCCTGACCTACGAGCAATGACAGCAGCCCCTGCGCTGAGTCTCGTGCGGCTTCAAGCTCCAAGGTGCCGTCAGTCGTCCTCGCAAGAGCGGAAGGAGCAACTCCCTTCCTCCACTGGTGGAGGCAAACCCTGAATGCGCCTCCTGCCCTCCCCACAAGGCCTGAGCAGCCCAAGCAGGTGACATTTGATTTCACTCCCTGATAAGATTGTGTCTATCCAAACACCTCCTAGTTAATGTTTCCAGGGCCCTCAGATAGCTCTTCTGTGTAGTATTTTACACAAAGCTCAACTGTTAAATGATTAACGAATTTTTTTTTTAAACCAGAGGAGAAAATTCTGCAAGAGAATTTTAGGACTACTGTGCCTGCTCTTCTGAGCACAGTACAAACTGGGGGCCGAGGTTCCGCAAAGAAGATAGCAGATCTCCCACATTTGGTGAATGACATTTAGCAGGGGGGAAAAAAATCCTAAGAGAAAACTGCCTTTTTATTTTGAGAAAAAAAAAAAAAAGCCTTTGGGTCTGCTTTCCAGAAAATATTTTTAATAAACCATGAAGACTTGCATGTGATTATAGATTTCAAAGTGGCTGAAACACATTTTATAATTTTCTTCTTTTTCTTACAGGGAAACACGCTCACCCAGCTCATTCATATTTTGAAATGACGCAACCAGCATAATTTTAAACTATGCTTTGCGACTACAAGACATATTTTTGTTTCCAAGTTCTATAACATACCTGCTTTATGTTATGTCTAGTCGCATCAGAGGTTTTATAAAAATAAACCTTTTTAACGTCACGTAAAATACATAATACACATTTACACATACTATAATACTTTTACCTATTTCTTCCTGCTTTTGAGATTCATAAACATTGAATAAAGTAATTTAAGGAGTTGTATTTTTTTCTTCTTTTACAGTTTCATGATAACATAAAAGTTTCTAGATCATAATTTTATAAGCACCATATTAGGCTGGATTCGGCTCCTGTATGCCTTTGGGAGTTTTAGCACATTGTACCTAAAACTTGACGAATCTCTGATAAGCTGAAGAACACAATAACTAAGGCAACAGGGAAGTCCATCAGAAAACTGATTCAAGGGGAGCTAAACTATAGTCCAATGTATCGTCAATTATATCTGCATTATTTTGTTACTTTATGGTCAAATTCTTAATATATTTCCATAATATGAACATTACTTTCCTTACTCCACAAGTGCATTTGTGGAAAGGTGTATTGGTAAATCAGAAGGAGGATACTGCAGTACAATCCAGCAAAACATCACGACTACGGATATATTAACCTTTCAGAGCAAGTTACAACAGCAGGAACGACATTACTGTCAAAGAAAAATGCTCTGCATGACCCTTATCATTTTGCCAAAAACAGCCCACCGTAAGAAACGAAAGAGAAATTCCAAGTTTGTACTTGCCAAATGAATCTTTTATTTAAAATTTGAAACAAAGGCGTTGCATTTGCCAAACCTTGCTACGCTTCACTGAGACCTTGCGTGAAAAACCAAAAGATCTGACTATTTGGAATTCAGATTTGATGTAAAACTTGGGCTTGTTCCCACTTAACACAAATATGAGACTGTACGTTACCTTGAAGTTCTTCAAATTAAAAATGATATGGACACAGAGCTGGGCCAAATTAACTCAGCTATGATGAAATGATTATAAAAACATGGTGTTATGAAATGTTTTGGCACTTTAAGACATGATGAATTCAGTATAACTGTCTGAAAATTGTTAAAATGAACATTACGTGGAAATAAAAAGACTAGTCTTGAAGTCAATACTTAATTTCCAAAACATTGTACTCTTGAAGAATTTAAAATACTAAACATAATGAGATTTAAAATTAAACAGATATTCATATGGAAGTATACTCTTTTTAAAAAAGTTTAACATAATGGTAGATAAATAGATTTCTAATGCTAACATACTTTAATGTTATAGACTATAGAAAATAAATTAGGTAGGACCATTTGACAATAGTGTCTGGCCTATAACGTTACCTCAGCTTGCACTTCTCTTCACTAATAAAAAAAGCTCCTCTTTCTAAAAAATTAAAAATTCCACTTATGGCTCTTTTTAAACCAAACTAAAATCATTTTTGGAAGATGTCTTTAACAACGTGGTAACTAGTGTTAATGACAACAAGGTTTGATGGTAAAAAAGAACTTATATGAGACAGTTTTATTTTCCAGTTTGATAGTATACCACATCACATATCTGAGCATATGACATGGATAATCTCCAGCTTGAGGAACGTTCCTTCTCAGTTCCTCCACCAATGTATAAATCTGTCCTTGCATCCTCACAGCACGTGAAATTTTCTTCTAAGGGCATATTCATTCAATAAACAGCCATAACTCTATTAGAAAATACTACTTAAAGCGGTAATAGATGATTCTCAAATTCCTCCCCAGATCAGGTATATTAGAAAGTAGAAAACTCAAATTCTTCAAGGAAAATTATGTTCTAAAACCATCAGAATGGCTTAACTTAAAAGCTAAATTCGTTCCGGGTGCATTTCCAACAATCTAGTTTTGAACTGAACTCTTACTTTACAATTAGGCAGGCAATGCCCCTCTTCAAACAGAAAGTCTAATCATCTCTTTGTAACAAGTGAAACGTTAAGATAATAATATTGACTTACAAAAGAATGAAATTAACGCTGGAAATAACCAGGATAAAATGTTAACTGTTAACTTTAAAACGTTAACTTTTGTTAAAATGTTAACTTTTATGACTAGATTAGGATAAAATCTTAGCTCCATTATCCTGGTTTCTTGTATATTCAACGGTCATGCATCAATACTCGTTCATATCTTTTTGTGCATGTCTTTTCTCCCTTCCCGCTCTTTACTTTTCAACCCATCCCATTAAATTTATTAGACAGATAAATATGTAAACAATATCTATTCCCATGAAAATAGCTAATTAGGTAGAAGAGAGAGACCTTAACAGTGCATTCACTGAAAGCACTGAGCACTATCTGCTCAGAAACGCTTACTAGACTTCAAAAAACGTACCTAGGAGACAACACTTACGAACACCGGAACTGGGAAAAAGCTTTGATGGGAGTTGTGGGATGGATAGGAAGAGAGGCTTAGCACTCACTGTTACATATGCATGAGGGCCCAAATTAAGCTATGGAATATGTAAATTCACAGAAATATAAATAAATAATTCCCAGAAACAGTTGTGGTAAACAAAAAGAGAAGAAATCAGAGATAACTCTGGGAAACCTGCCTAATTTCCTCTGAGCACACAGTCTACCCACTTGGTAAGCTCATAGGGAAATCCAACTGGAATCTTCACAACTCTAAAACAGCCTTCCCCTGGGAACACCTTAAAGACACAATGGTTTTCCCAATCTGTGACCAGGAGACAACCAGACAGCTCTGGAGTTGGAACTCCTTTCCTATCCAAAAATTTCAAAACTCAGGGAGCTTTGTTCTGACCTAGAAAGATATCTTCATTTACCAAAATTCTCTGTGCAAGGGGAGCCCTTCCCCAACTAATCCTATTTCTCAGGAAATCTTCATTCTGGCATTTACCAATGAATGCTTAATTTTGAAGCCCGCAAAAGGTGTTGTAAATTTTGGAAATTTGCAATTCTGCAATCTTGTAGAATTATTAAAATATTTTTGTTATTCTTAGAACAAATGGTTATTTCAAAACAAAACAAAAAACGCTTCACTAAGTTTAAAACCCTTGCCTCTACTTAGACCAACACCTGCCAGTGTACCTGAATAAAGTAATAGGTCTTTATCCTCCACATCAACCGTTTAGTTAGGAGGACAGGTCTGTGGGTTTTTTTTTTAAATTGATTTCACTCATATTTACTGACAGAAGTGGATTTGTCACCCAAAATTCTGTTTTAAGATCAGACTTGCAGTGTGCTTGGTTCTCACCCCCTTTTTCTTTTCCTTTTTTCTGGCCTGTTCTCTCCAACCTGATTCATTCCAGTCCTGCATCTTTATCAAGTCCTTCCCCTTATCCAGGGAAACAGATCTGAAATCCAAGCATCTCAATCCATTCACTCTCATATTGCCCACAGCACTTTTCTATCACACCTGCTCCTTCTCCAAAGGACCTAAAGTCCTGCTGATTCCAGGTCTCCTCCATAGCAAACACATCTGAATCCATGCCTTTCCTTAAACTGATCGGTTACAGCTCTGTGAAATATCTTTCTGGGCTAATCAATAAATTGGGGCCTCTTGTTTCTAACCTAAATCTCAATTCCAACATCTTTGGAGTTCTCCCACTACATCTTGGTTCCTCATCAGATCTGTCCCATGTCTTCTCACATCCCTTTTTTAGGCTTTAGTGTGGCTTAGTCTATTTGTCAACAATATTTCTATGGACAGGATTAGCCTGTCAGGCCATCACCCCATACGATGGTTTTCTAGCTCCAATTTATGGAACTCCCTTCCAGTCTTCCCAACGCAGAACTATCTGTCTCACAGTCCAACGTGCAGCACAATTTTCCACGTAAGAGACCCAGTTTTCTTCCTTCCTTTCCTGGCAGGTTCCAACCATTAAGTCTGCCATTCCTCCATAACCAGTCCTGCCCTCTTAAGACTGAAGGAACGGTGGAAGGTTTGCAGACCACAAACAGAAGAGAGCCGAAGAAGCAACTGGCTGAATGCCCTTCAAAAATGGGGTCCTAAAATTTTCTCTTTTGCCAAAACTTGTAAGTTATTCTTTACCTAGATAAAGAAATTCAAGTCATGTTCAAATCCCAGAATGGACAGTCATTGACGACATACTCGCTTACCTGAAAAATTTGTTTCAAAGAGAAAAGCGCCCGTCTCAGCTCCCGTCCATTGGAATTGTAGAGTTTTTCTGGAAAAAAGATAACAGCATGAAGATCAGCATTAACAAAACTGACAACATTGCTAAAAAGGGGCACAGATTGCAAAAGGGTTAGCGGGAAGAGTCATAGTGCCCATTTTCCATTAGGCAGACTGCTGCCAAAAGTAAGCAAGTTTCTTGTTCATACATACAGTGCTTGCCCATTACACAACATAAGTAAAACCAGGATTTAGCTGTGCATAACTACAGATAACATCTCCCAGGTAAGTTCACTGTAACTTCAAAAAGATCAGCAAGAATCAACACTCTAAGGACATTTCAAGAACAGCTAGAAATACTCTTCTTTCTGCATTAAGGTTAAATTTAGAGTTTATTAAGTGCCAGATTAGCATCAAAAGACCCAACTGAAAGCGCTCTCTGCTTTTGTTATCAAAGCTAGAGTCACTGAATCCCATCCTTGCCTGCCTTCCCTCTTGACATTCTTTTCCTGTGCTCTCATCTTCCTATTGTTAATTCCTTTCTACAATTGCAATGAACATTAATACCAAAAATAGCTAGACAGTCTGTTCTAAGCATAATTCAAAACAGTGTTTTATCCTCATGAAAACTTATCTTGATCTTTTTCTAAGAGAAGCTGAAGCATTCTTTTCATCATCCAGATTGAAAATATATTGCCATGTTTATTCTCCTACTACCAATGCTCACAGAAAACAATTAGAGGTAGACAACAGCAACTTCTCTGCTAGCTTTCTATATCCTGCCATAACATTTGTACCTTTGGAGGATGTTTGTACTGTATGCCTGAAGTTTATTATTGTGTATTAGGAAGTGTTTTGTGACTGTGCGTGTGGGTAGGAGCAGAATGTAACTAAAAGTCTACTACGCAGAGATATATGGCAGAGAGAGACTATATTCAACAGTGGCCGTATACAATCCCAAATTTCTCTGTGTTGGATTTTACTACTTTAACGTAATATGAAAGCAATTACCAAAAAAAAAAAAAAATCAAATCTTTGGGATCATCTGCCATGACACACACACTCAAGATCACTGAAAGACCTATCCTGCAACGGGGAGCAGCAGTGGCCTGCAGTAGCTCAGGAGATCAAAGTCAGCATGCCTATGGAGCAGGAATACAAGAAAGCGAAACATTAACCCCTGCATTTTCTTTCTTACTTTCCCTTGTCTATTTCCATTCTAATTACACTACAAAATGACATCAAGTTTTACTGCCCTTTTTCTCAGTTAGTTACAAAAAGGCATATCATCTGAGGATTTGATGCATTTATAACTTGGTAATCGTTTTTCACTTCAAACAAAGAAAGATGGTTTTAATTTAAGACAATTGTTCCTTATTCCCAACAGTTGCCTTCAAGCAAAGAAAAAAAGTGAAGTAAAACTTACACTTTTTTGTAAATCTTGTAAGTAATTTTGTTCTTCTCTAATTGCCTTTGGTTTCAAAGGTAAAATGTGTAGAATTGGCAAAACTTTTATTGCTAAAAGTTGTCTCCTTCCTTGCACTGTTTACAGCGTCCTGACAAAAGGATTTCACTTCAAGCCATAAACTTAGAGGCATACTTTAATTACTCTAGCTTAAAAACACACTGGCATGTGAAACTACATTTCTTGGCAGGATAAAGAGTAATTTTGTCAGGAAAGCTTACACAATAATAAAGATCTTTTAAGACCTGTTTTGTCAACTTCACATGCCATATTACACAAAATATTCTTCTTTGAAAGATACCTCCATCTGGCATTTGTTATTACTAATTTCCCTCTATTCATAATTCACCAACATTATTATGAGCAGAGTCTCCCCAAACAAGGCAGCACATTATCATCTTAATTAAGAGAGGCACCATGTCTTAAAGCGCTGGCAACTTTGTGCACAAATATCAACATTCTAACAAATGCCAGCTGTCGGGGGCGGGGG